TAGAATCAGGAAAAAAACAATATACGCTAGGCACTGCCACACCCTAGTGAGAATTCAGTGGTCTAATCGACCTCGAATCGACGTCGATTAAGCCGGTCGACAAATTGTCTAATCGATTCCAAATGTCAAATCGAAGGGACTTTGTCCCGTAAATCGGCCTCACACCGAAAAAAATGAATTAGTCGTCAGAACTAAATATTAGTTAATTTCGGGACAATCGATCAAAAAATTGTTGAGGTAACTAATAATTTGTTTTCAGAACCAAGATAAAGTTGTCAGAGCAAGCTGTTCGGTGCTTGAGCTAACGCATTCCCCGGATGTAAAGATCCGCACTCAGTACTATAGCCGAAAACTGTAGTTAAACTGTAGTAAACTACAGTTTAATTGCAGGTTTCTATAGTTTAACTGCAATTTTTTCGGACGTAGGGCCACAAAGCGGGAAAAACTGCAGATTAACTACAGTTTAACTGCATTGATGAAATTACTAGAGTTCTGACTGCAGTTCGTCTTCAGATCCTTCCACCCGGGTCGTTCTAAAAACAAACCACGAATTGGCTCCTGCAGCAAACGTGCTTGGTTTTAGCGACCAACTCTTGGCTCTGGCAACTTAATCTTGGTCCTGACAACAAATTATTAGTTACCTCAACAATTTTTTGATCGATTGTCACGAAATTAACTAATATTTAGTTATGACGACCAATTCATTTTTTTCCGTGCAGGGTTGCCAGCGCCCAAGAAGGTTTAAAGTAGTAGAATAGTGACTTCCCTGATCTCAAAAAAGTGACAAAAAAGTGACTTTTTACGTCTAAAAAGTGGGGGGAAAGTGACGTGTTACGTTGGAATATTATAATTTGGAACGTATGGCTCATATTTTGCACACATTCATCATGACTTAAGATTGAGTGTAAAAAAAATGAAGCACAAGAACAGAAGACTATCACAAAAACCTTTGACTTGTCGATCACTGAATGATGACCCACAGTTTTTCTGGAACATTTTCTAAGCTCTCAGATTAAATTTTCGAAGTCACCATCGAACTACCCGTAAAAATTCTCGATTAAACGAGACTACATCATGTATTAGTTTTCTGCACAAAAGTTGTTTGTTTTGTACTTGTTTTGGCGTGGCGGGTCATCAGCGAGAGCTAACTGTACAGTCCGGGGAAGACCCTGCCTCGAATCGACGTCGATCATGTACAATGAAATTTCTTGCAATTAAGTGCCAGAAAGCCTTCTGGAACATTTTAAGACCCCTTAGCTGATTTAAGTCGTGCCTTAGAGCACTACTCGAATAACATCGAAATTTCGTCGACAACCTCGACTGAGACCAACGATAACTTCTCGAGCACTTGACGTCAATTCGAGCATTCGAGCGAGCACCCATTTCTCACTTGGATAGATAGCTGACTGAAAAGTAGACAATTTAGGCAGCAAATCGCAGCAAAACCACCCTTGTATGGTAACTGGCTCCCCACGCCGGACCCCCCCC